AGACTGGGTAATTTACAAAGAACAGAGGTTTATGTGGCTCATGATTCTGGGACAGCTGCATCTGGCATGGGCCTCAGGTTGTTTCTTCTCATGGCAGAAAAGCGTCAGGCAGCCAGCGGGTACAAGCAGATCACATGGCGAGAGGACGCAAGGGCTGGGGGGCGGGGGTTAGATGCCAGGGTATTTTATAACAATCAGCTCTCGCAGGAACTGATAGAGTGAGAACGGTCAGGCAGCCAGCGGGTACAAGCAGATCACATGGCGAGAGGACGCAAGGGCTGGGGGGCAGGGGTTAGATGCCAGGGTATTTTATAACAATCAGCTCTCGCAGGAACTGATAGAGTGAGAACTCACTCATTACTCCCCCCACCCAGGGAGTGCACTAACCCATTCATGAGGGATCCACCCCCATGACTCAAACAGCTTCCAGCACTGCCACACTGGGGATCAGGTTTCCACATGAGTTCTGGGAGGACAACACATCCAAACTCCATCAGTGGCTTAAGACAACACAAATGTATTACCTCACAGATCTGGAGGCTGGAAGTTCAGATTCAAGGCAGGGTTAAGCTAGGATTGGTCCAGCTTCTGGAGGCTCTGAGGGAGAGTCTGTCCCAGGCCTCTCCCATCACTAGTGGCTCTGGCCATCATAGGCGTTCCTTGGTGTGTAGGTGCTTTGCTCCAATCTCAGCCTCCGTCTTCACATGACTGTCTCCCATTTCTCTGTGCCTCATATATCCCTACCCTTTCTCTTACAAGAACATCGAACGTTTAGGGTAGGCCCTAAATCCAAGATGATCTTCAAATCAAGATCCTAAACTTAACATCTGCAAAGACTCCTTTTCCAAATAAGGCCTTGTTCCCAGGTACCAAGGATTAGGATGGGATCATTTTTGGGGAAGCCTCTCTTCGACCCACCACAGAGCGTATATATCTGGTTATAGGGGCAGAGAAAGGGAAGAAAATTCATTGAGATTCTGCTCAAATGGTACCTCAGGAGCTTCTTTGGACCACCCCACCTAAAACTGCATCCCTGCCCACCCACATGTCTATTCATGAAATGTGTGTGGGGGACTGCTGTGTGCCAGGCACTGTCCCCTGTGCTCCAGAAAGAGTAGGGATAAGGAGCAGACATCCCTGACCTCCTGGAGCTCCCTTTCCAACAGGGACACAGGTGGTGAGGAAGAGACAAGAAAAACACGCACGCAGCTCAGGCACTGACAAATTCCAGGGAGAGAGTCAAGTCAGTAGAGGATGGGTTGGGGGCTGTGATGTGAGGATGAGTGACAACTGAGTCAATACCTGATGGAAGTGGGCTCAGAGGAGCTCTGGGAAGGGCATTTCAGGGAGAGGGCACAGCCAGGGCAAGTGCTGAAGGGAAGTGCTGGTCTGTCCAGCAGACAGCACGGGGGCAGTGAGCCAGGAGCAGGCTCAGCAGGAGAGGGCGGGAGAAAGGACGCCAGTGAGACAGGGCCAATCGTGGGGGCCTCCAAGGTGAGGATTTGGTCATCACACTGAATGAGAAGGGACCACTGGGCCGTCCCCAAGACCACCTTCAGGTAGGTTCAATGATTCACCAGAAAGAGGCGCAAAACTCAGAAAGCTGTTATGTTCACATGCACAATTGGTTACAGCAAAGGACACAGATTAAAATCAACAGAGGTAAAGGGCTTCTGGGACAGAGTCCAGGAGGGACCAGGTGTCAACCTCCAGTTGTCCTCTCCAAGTGCAGTCACATGGACAATGCTTAGTTCTCCCAGCAAGGATGTATGACACATGCATGGACTGCTGCCAGCCTGGGAAGCTCACTGAGCCTTGATGTCTGGGATTTTTTACTGGGTTTGGTCACATAGGCATAGCTGACCACTTGAGTTAGTGACCTTAGTCTCCAGCCCCTCCAGAGGTCAGGCTGACACTGTGTGACAAAGGTCACCACCATAAATCACATTGTTAGCATAGACTATCTGGTGTGGGCCAAGGCCCCCAGATAAACACAAGACGTTCAAACCAGGCAGGACATTCCGAGGGCTTAGAGGTTGTCTCCCCGGAGCTGATTAAAGGCCAGTTTCTTTGGAAGGTGCAGGGTCTGAATACCCCAAACCTGCTGAGTTGACTCTTGGATGCACAGGGGGCTATGAGTGGGAGCCAAGAGCACAGGGAGTTGCCGTGGCCCCAGTGAGCAACGCTGGTCAGGAAAGAGGGGCCACAGTGGACCCGGCAGAGGGCCAGATGCCAGCAACGCCAAAGGCAGAGGACGGAAAAGACTCAGACACCAGCAGGGCTGAGCTGCCACTGAGGGGAGTGGGCACCCGCAGGTTTCAAGTCGGGGTTTCAGTGCGAGAGGCACATTTATCCTAGAAGAAGGGATGGACAAGGAATCAGCAGGTGCGAGAGGGAGGCGGCCATGGGAGGTGGTGGGGGTTTTGAGATAAAGGGGGGATTTTAGATAAAAAAGAATTCTGGAGGATGTGGAAAGGTTGGTCCCTGGAGGGGGAGGGGGAGGATGTGAGGGGTGGGCTCCCTGCTGATGGTTCCACTGCTGCGGGCAGCCGGCAGCAGGGAAAGCGGGGCGGGGGGCAAGATTGAGGAGAGCAGATAGAGACGTGCCACCCTGGCAGGTGGGGAGGTGGCGTGCGGACGTGAGAGGGAAATACGGAATTCCGGGCCAGGGAGATTTGCGGTCGTGAGTTAAAGCCAAGCCCGCTCAGCCTGCTTGTGTGCTTGTCTGCCGCTTTCAGGGGCCCTCCACGTGTTTCCTGGTGGCCTGGGGCAAGGGTCCGTGGCTACTGGCCGGGAGAGCTGGCCGCACTTCTGAGCCCGTGGGGCCTCCTGCAGCTGGAACAGGCCGTCGTCCAGGTGGGTCCCCAGATGACCCTGCCCCGGGCCTTCCCAGACCCTCGGGGGGCGACGGGGAGCAAAGCGGGCTGCTCCCGCTCCACGCCGGGCCCACCCGGCTGGGTTTCGGGATAAGTGCGGCAGCGGACGGGTGGGGCAGCGGTGCAGGAAAGACGAGCGACTGGCAAGGCTGGGCAGGCGCGCTTCCCGGAGAGGCCTCCTCTCCAGACGGCAGAGAGCGGCCGACGCCGGGAGGAGACGGGTGGGCCTTG